CAGATTTTTTCTGTACCTCATTGATTTCACAGTATGGGAGTGTTCCTTGTCGATCACAGACAAGTCGACCTGTCCCATGGTAACCTTGGTGACGACCTTGACTTTGAGCTGTGTGAAACAGTGAACAATAAAAGTGAGCAAATACATGAAATGAAAAAACGTGCGGTTCTCAGTTTTCAAAGATAAATTAAAAGGAACCATGGTAACCATGCATAATAGAGAGCTTAAGCATGACGCTCATGGCAAACTGCAAATGGCAGAAAAAATCATGTGACCTGCTTGTTGGGGTTTTACCATTACAGTTTCAACAAGAGAGTGCATAATTTTGAGTTTGCCATAATTGTGAAAAGTCACACTTTCAAATGACCACCTAAAGCACAAGGTCAGGCATGAAATTCTTAGGTCATTGGTTCAGCACTGCTGTTAGCTGTTTGCCATAAACGTGACGGTTAAACTCTCTAATCTCACACACCATAAGTGTCTGAAAGATGCTAACAGGATATGTAATTAAACAATGTAATTAAACAATGTAATTAAACAATGTAATTTGAACAATGTAATTCAACAATCAAGAAAGTACAATAATTTGCGTATTAAGGAGATCACCCATAGCAATGATAATGTTTATAGGCTGTACCTGGGTTCCAGTGGTTCCAATCAARCGTTTGTCTTCCTTCTGTGATTTGACATTGACTGTAACAGTGTAAACACCAGGGCTGGGCTTGGATGCCATGAAATCAAGGTCATAACTGTGATCAAACAAAAAATGATTCTAAATAATACTTTATACAATACTTTTTGACCACTAAAATTTCTAAAATAAGATTAACACCACTGGTGTTTAGTAATGGGAATTTAATGACAACTTTGTCTCACAATTGAGGTCATGGATATGAGATGTAAAATACAATAATATTTTGATTGTTATATATTCAATAATCTCATTACTGCATAGTCCCTAAACCTCATCTCGCCCCATAGAATAGTCCAACTTACTGCACTCAGGTATGAAATAGCATRATTCACGCAATGACAGTTGGAATTTTAAGAACCAATTGTCCCATTCCCGTACCCAGTCCTTCTCATTTTCTCAACAGATAATTGAAGGCTCTGGTTGGAGAGAAATTAGTCTTGATTTGATTGGTTCAAGAAATTCCCATTTTCCATCAGTATATATATATATATATTGTCGAACCCAGATTCTAGGTCTTCAGGTATTGTCTGCAACCAGAGCCTTTGATTTTCTGTTGGTAAACTGAGAAGGATCTGGGTACAAGAATGCCTCTGGGGATGAGATTAGCCTAAACCATCTATGGATATTTTGTTTGTCATATTAAGGT